AGTGTTTTGCGCTGATAATCGAATTGAACTATTTGGTCGGAATCTACGTTGGGCTGCGGCCAGCCTCACGAGTGTGGTGGTGACTAGAGGAAATTCCCATTTATACGTCTCAAACTTGACATCTTCGATGTGGGGCAGCGGGAGTGGCGTCATCACCCCACTTATGGTCCGCGGATTGAATAAAACAGGTTTCAGTCGAGGCAGACTGTCCACTTAAGGTGGATTGGCTCCTTGGCACAGGACCTGTCTAGGATGAAAAACACTGAGTTTTACAGTTGGTCCTCGCTGTTGGGGGGAGAGGACAAGTACCCATCCAAGCGGTTTCTGCATGAAGGTCAAATTTGCAGGAGCTCCATTTGGTAGAAAATGGGCCCGGGTCCTTGACCGCCTTGAATGGAGCGCCGATAAGAGCGTTCAGGTGCCCTGACAGGAAAACTCCGCGTCAGTCCAGACATGCCGACGTGAAGAATTCACTTGAAATCACATCAATCTATGTAATGTCAGAAATTGTCAGGAACACCCTTGTTAGACATTCCAGAATTCGGTGTAATAACTAATACAGAACAAGACCTTTTTGATTTCTAATTTCAGTCGCAGTACTTTACATCAGGACCGGTCTCGATGTTTACACTGAATGTTCTGGAAGAACTGCTCATTACATGAGCAACAAAGGCAATACATCAAATGGCTGGGAAAAACTGTTGACGATAAGACAGCTCGTCCATCAAAGTTTCTCAGCCTGTGAATTTTCCCTGGTCATCGTCCTTTCTTGGTTAGGGATTTCGTGTAGGTCACCGTCCGATGCCAGTTGGCCTAACAGATGTGCAAAATGGCATTAAGTCCACAAATACTCTTCGGCGCTTTCTTAAAGACACATAGTACGCTCACACACATTGAGGGTGTATGTGACTAGCAGCCCCCCAGCTGTCGAAGCATAGCGGTTTCCCCGTTCAAACATGCGCAGGAATGGAGATACAGGACCGTGAAACACGCTAGTTCCTCCATGCTCCGCCTTGCCTTTTGCGGCGCAGATTCCCGTCCTTCATAACATCCGTCGTAAGCGCGCGTGTCGCGTGCGGCTCCTTGGCACTTTGCCAAGTCCTTTAATTGCGCTTTGGAATACAAGTAAAACGCAATTTCCTGATGCGGATGCTGCAAAATAAGAACCGAAGATGATGACGAGGGCTAGAACTCAAGAGCAACTGTGCTGCTTCTG